ATATGGGAATGTTGTCCATACCCAACAATCAGGAAATATTGACGAAATTCGATACATTAAATGGATGGATGGTTCATGGCCATTCGGATGAACCAGAGAAACATGCTTGGATCTTCAGTTCTTGCAAGATTTCAGTATCTTTATTTTATATTTTAATCTTTTCATGCTAAACGATGTACTTCCTTTATGATTATGAATTATAACTCAATGTTATTCCAATTAACTAATTACAATTATGTAATTCATATTATAATTTTAGTAAATTAACTTTGAAACAATCTGTGTATGATTACTGGACGGTGTAACGCTTATTCCTACAGACTGATTTTTTTATTATATCATTCGAATGTTCTGGGAATTTTTTAACTGTTTCATTAGATTCCGACAGCTAAACATCCTTAAAATTTTATTTTATTTGTTAAAAACAATTATCATAACTTTCAATAATTATAGCAAACTAATCATGCTTATACATCATTAGTCAAGTCCTGATTCTTCATCTTTTTTTTTTTTTTAATAAAAGAAACATTTGAATTTGGTGAGTCAACTATTTTTACTTTCACATACCTATATATGGAATCTCATTTTCATCGGAAATGAACGTTTTGATGTCTCCTGAGTCAAAATAACCAAGTGCCGCAAAATGGTCTGTGTGTGTATGTTACCGTAGGTTACTACGGTATGTTAACAGTCTAGCTCACAAACGAAAAGTTGTATGCAAGTGAAATTGTATATTTAAAATTTGTATATGCTAGAAATGTTATAGGAACTTTTTTGTTTAAAATCGGTTTATCGGAAGCAGCACTTTATATTGTTGACTAAACACATTTTTGCGATTTTCTCGAAAAGGGCTATAATACTTTTGATTAAATTCATCATATTAGTGTGAAATTAAGTAGTTTTAAATAAACTATAGTTTTCATTCTCATTGATGTTTTCTAAAAGGGCTTAAATGGCTAATTATTAATATTAGCTTCCCTGAAGTACCTTCATTATTATTTTTTTTCAAACAAATGACCATTTCACATTAACCTCTAGCATAAATGATAGTTAAATATAAAAAATGAAAGAATTTGATAACTAACTAAAGGAGAAATAAGAGATCGTAACTGAGAACAGTTGTAATTGAGGAACCAAAGGAATACGAGCGCACTCAAGCTCGCCCGAAAGATTAGAACATGCTTCCATACGTTACATGAGCTTAATATAATAAGGAGTCCGACAATATTATGTAAACATACATATGCGGTTTTCATAGATGCTATTGTTGGTATTATTTAATATTTAATTGTAATGCTTATAGCGATATAAATATTAAAATTTGTTTTTATAAGAGTACTTACAAAAATAAAAATTCCCACAATGAAATATGAATATAATATAGCGATTTTAATTTTTTGCTTTCACTACCCATTCGTCTAAAAATACTTATTTCTGCTAAGAAGGGGGTGGTAAGTGAAAGTTGTGTGATGCGCTCACCACACTAGATTGTTTTATATTGATAGCCTTTTAATCGATTAAACAGAGCAGGGTAGTTGTGAATTCAGGAATGATATTTGCGTTTGTATTAACGAGAATGTATGATGAATGAGTCCACCAATGCCATTTATTGTCATTATATGCCCAGCATTTGCTTATGTTTGAACGAACAAATCCTTGAACTGAGGCGAGGCTACAGAATTGTTTCTCCGAAAGACAGAAGTGGATTAAGGAATAAATATTTCTGCGGGAATTCATTTTTTCAAATAATCGTTTTGCGGGTTTTTTTTGTCCGAAAGTCTCCCCACTTATTTGAATCTGCCGGTGCTGAAGGAGGAACAAGACCAGATTTGAGGACTGAGCCCTAGTTCACAGTAACTAAGCGTATTATGTATCTTAGTAGAGATTATTTATTAATAAAAACCTAATATATAGTATAATAATGATCAACTAACATATAAAGTTGGTTCAGCCGTGCCCTCAAAACATTCAACCTCGCGCAACCCAGCCGTAGTTCGGTGGTAACTTATTTTGATGATTTTAATGAAATTAATTAAACATATACGTTAATATTAATTATGAATAAACCTGCACAGTTACGATTAAGCCCATAAAGGGTTTTTGTTTTAGTGCCTAGCTGGTAAGCATTTATTGATTCTTAATAAAAAAATTTTAAAAGAGTGCACGTGATCAGCAGTAATTATGGAGTATTTGCCTCAAAAACATTCGAAGGACCATAAATCTTCTTCCCAGAGGTTGGACATGCCCAAGACCTTGTGATCCCTTATTCGATCCCCGAATGATGTAATTGCAGTATAAAAACTGTGCTTACCCACTACTTTACAAATTTATATTCGTGATTAATTATATATCTTTAACGATCTTTCGTAAATTACCAGTTTTTAGCTTTTAATTTACTCAACGAAGCAAAATCATTAAGAAAGTATTTAAGAGCTTTTAAAGAAATACTAAATTGCAGGATTGCATTGCCATTTAATAAAAAATGAGTGGCATCAAATTTACTTCATTTTTTTAATAATAATATTCCCGATGAGATTCTATCTTAATGGAAAAAAAATGTTCACAAAATCAGGAAGGGTTCTGTAATCATTCGACCTTCACAACCAACAGTCTCTACCTGGTTCAAATACGAATGGGTTTTTTTTATTTTATATCTTTTGTGTTTTCTTATATTCGCGATACCCGCAGTCTTTTAAAGTACCTACTGAATCATGTTGAATGCGAATTATGAAGAATGAGACGCAATATGCAAATTTAAACTTGACTACAGTTTTTCGTAATCCACACGTTTTATTCATGACCCGTTTCATGATATAAATCCTTTATTATGTTGATAGTATTTATGATTATTTGAGATTCTTTAGCATTATTTCACAACATAAATAATGCAGTGCAGCTATGTTATAAAAGGAACAGCATAGCCAAGAGTATGTACATAAGATAAAATAAACATATTATTCTCATCATACTTAGTATAAAAGTTGCTGAAGCTTTCCTTGTACTTAAGATATTCATTTATATGTTGACTTAAGTAATTGCTTTTTCATGTGTTTATAAATAAAATATAAGTAAAAATGTAAATATATGTGTGTATATATTTTATAATAATATTAAATTAATACCGTGCTCTCGCTCAATCTCCTCTGGCTTTAGCAACATTGACGTGGTTGAGAGAGTAGCGCAGGGATCTCTTGGAGTCCTTCTTTTCACTCTAAAGCTGGAGGGGCCAGTTACGTATAGCTGTTTTGATTAATTTATCTTTAAGTTATTTCATTTTTTAATTGTATATACTTTTTGATTATTACTTAGTTGTTATTTTGCTTTTGTTTATTTTGTTACATATGTCTTGTATGAATGTGCTCTTACCTCAATACACCTAGTCCTATCATAAATATTGCTACAAGGAAATATATACATATATCAACAGAAAAATCTATTTTTTTTTTCAAAAACTTTATTAGAAAATAAAATGTATATCTATCTATAACAAAAAAGAAATTACACAAAATGTCCCCCTTTAGCCTTGACATAGGCATTCAATCTCCGTGACCAGTCATCAATAGCAGCACGCAGCACATCTTGAGGAAAGCGCTCAACTGCTCGGACCAGAGATTGTTGGATGCTTTTCAAGTTAGGCAGTGAATGTGCTCTGTGGCATGACATCTTCAAAGCTGATAATCTAGTGGGTTAAAATTAGTGCTTCCTATGGGCCAATCCGAGGCAGACATAAACTCTGGAATGTTCTTTTGCAGCCACTGCTCAGTTGACCTGGCCTTGTGTTCTGGAGTGGAATCCCGCTGGAAAACCCAATGACTTCCATCAAATAGAGAGTCATTTCTAGAGACCAGAAAGCAGGTTCCAAAATATCGTCCTATTAGATTTTAATTTTTCCTATTTTAATTCATTTTTCACAAAAATGGTGTCATCAAAGCAAACACTCACCAAACCATAACTGAGGAAGGGTGATGACCTCTTCTCACACTTCCAATGACTTCCTGGGCATCTTTAAAGCTTTTTGCGTACAAAGGATCATTTTGGCGACTGAATTTTTCTTCAATTGTAAAAATTTTCTCCCCACCATTTCTTTCTAAACCCCTTTTTCGAGTATTGAACATGACAAAGAAGGGAATGTCAAAATTTAAAAAAAAATGTTGTCTAAGGTATATTTTTAAAAGATCCATTTACTCTGAAAGAATCCCAAATAATCTACATGTAAAAGTTACTACTAATTATATTTTTATTTTTAGAACAAATAGTTTTCTTTATTATATAAATTGGGTCATTATTCACCAACATTTTATTTATAAGCTATTTTATTATGACGTTTCGACCATCGCTAGGGCCATTTTCAAGTATGTTAGGTTTACAGTACCATCTACTTAGTCAACAAAGGCACGAATAAAAGATTTCCATCTGTCCGTACAGCGGTGATACATTACTGGGTCACGAGGTGGCCTCTCAGTTGTTATATTTCTTCTGTTTATTATTTCTAAAATTGGTGTCTTCAGTTTTTATTTGTTATAAAAATTAGGTCATTATTCACCAAAATTGTATTTATTAGTTATTTTATTACGACGTTTCAACCAGCACTAGGCCCATACTGCGGTGATATATGACCAATGGAAACCTTTTAAGCGTGCCTTTGTTTACTTAACAGATGATAATGCAAACTTAACATACTTGAAAATGGCTCTAGTGATGGTCGAAACGTCGTAAAAAATAGATAATAAATAAAATGTTGGTGAATAATGGCCCAATTTATATAACAAATAAAACCTCAAGACACCAATTTTAGAAATAATGAACAGAAGAAATATAACAACTGGGAGGCCATCTCGTGACCCAGGAATATATCAGCGCAGTACGGACCAATGGAAACCTTGTAAGCGTGCCTTGGCTGACTAGTTTGGTTGAAATAGTTTTTATTATATTTTTCTAAGCAACTTTGATACGACAAATAAACATATTTTAAATAAATTTCTTTCATATTTTGTTGATAGTTGACGGCAATTTTGGTGGTGTTCCTCGCTGCCATAGCAACAGCTGCCGCCTTGTGGGGAGGATTTGGCGGTTGGGGAGGCTATGGAGGTTATGGCGGCCGCAAGAGATGGGGCTATCGGAGTTATGGATACCCGAGGTACTATGGTGGATATGGTGGATACGGTGGATATGGTGGATATGGAGGATACCATCGTCCATATTACGGAGGAATTTCTAAATGGAAATACTGGGGATAAAAGGGATAACAACAGTTATTCAAAAATTGGTCTTTACCTAGAAGTAATTTTTCTATTGTATTCTTTTTAATTTTGATTTTGATTTTTTTTTACAGCTGAAATGTGTTCATTAAATAAACATTTGCATTATTAAATCCACTAAAATCCCTAATGTATTTAATCAGGTTTCATAAAATAATATAATTTTTAAAAAATAAATAAAACATTAAAATATCTATTATATTTTTTGTCATCCTTATCCCATCCATCGATCAAATCTGAGAGATTTTCGAAATCCTATAATTATTAACATTTTACTATCACTCACGTTTCTTAGTCAATTGTTGTTTTTGTGTGTGTTTTTTTTAACTCATACATTTTATTTCTAACAAACAATCAAATAATAACAGACCATCTATACGAATATAGGGAACATTACTCAACTCTACATTCAGTTTTATTAAGTATTCCTACACTTTCTTTTTTATCGGCCAATTTAATTACGGCAAATAGAACCTATTCCTAATCTGAAAGTATCAAATGTGTTTATTATTATAAATAAAATTGAACTCCCAACCAACTTGAATTATATATTGAATAATACATAATATTTGTTGAGGAAATAGTTTATTCAATATTAATATATGGTTGTAACGTAATATAACTGAAGATACTGTATATATTCTTTAATATTGATTAATGTAATTTTTGGCCAGATGTAGTTTTAATTTTTTTGTTCATATCAGTTATTCATAAGGGACCTTGTCCCAGAATAAAGTTTACTTTCTATCTATCTATCTATCTATAATTTCATAGCTGAATAAAAACAACATGAATTCAGTTGTAATTCATGGAAAGTAAAATTTGATAAATACAGACTTAGGTAAGCGTTCTTAAGTATTGTTGTAAGTTCCTAGATTGATTTGGAGTTTTTTTGTTTTTTTTTAAAGGTACTCTCTTTTCAAAAGAATCACTTTATATGAAGTATGCTCTAATATTATTTATTGTCTTGTATGAACTTAGGAGCTTTTCTTTTCAAAGTTTGATGTAGCTACCACTTCTATTGATCGTATTAATTATATAAAGTTATGTTCAATTTTTATTAAAAAAGCACAATTGTTCTTTATGTTTCTATTGACATTCTGTTTAATTTTCTTTCAACACCAAATTGGAACTATTTTTATATGCATTTTTTTTCAAGTAATATCCGTTTTACAACCGATCGTTTTATTAGGTTTTTATTGTTTTGGATTCTGATGGTTTATAAATAACAAAAAAATGTATTAATCTGAAAAACTCAATTATTCAAAGATACTTCCTACGTGAACGAGTAACTTACAATTAGTATAAAGTTTGATAAAAAAGGAGCTATTATCATCAAGGGGTCGTTTAGCATTACAAATTGTTCATCCGAGAGCCCATCAATTATGTGTGAAGAATTCGAGAGTCGTGACACATGTATACAAACAGCTCACAACAGAAGGAGTGTAGTTCACGACAAGAATAATAACCCAGATGAGGAAAAGGTTCGGGTTTTGGGCAAGTGTTTGAACAACCTTGTCTGCGGTTTTTACAACCAGGAAAGAATCGTTCGTTTCTCATTAGTATTGTTCTTTATTCACTCCAGTTCGGGAGCGTTTTGGTTCTGGACGTGAAGTGGGGAAGAACAAAGGAGATCCTCGTAGGATATCGGTTTGATGGAATCGCCGAGGTCAGGAACAGGAAGCGTATACGTATTACGTAAAAGTAGTTGATAGTAACCTAGTAGTATATTAGGTTCAACCGTCCTTATCTACCTGTTTGAATAACATACAATCGTTAAATAATTCGTTATTGGATAGATGACAATGCAACTTGTTGAAGCAGTCCTCCAGGAAGCAGAGAGTACCCACCTACGCATACCATCCAGATGGGTTTGGTGCAATTTCATCATTTGAAGAAAGGTTTTAATATTTTTAAGAACTTTAACAAACCATTAAATTATTATCAGTGATAGTACAGGAAACCGGCTAGTATATAACCAATGGTTCTGTTCATGTTAGAGTATATTACAATATTTTTCAAATTTTAAACGTTTTTTTTTTCAACTATAGTTAAAGATTTATAGCTATTAATCTGCACCTGTCGTTGAACTCTTGATCCGCAAATGGTCTTATAAACTCTTCCCTGAATTTATTCAATTACCATGGTTTGCTATGGAAGGAGGTCTCATCTAGCGCCTTTTTTAGTCTACTCCTCGTATTTATGGGTTGTCAGCTGAAGCCTTGACTCTTATTAGTATGGTAATATGATCGTGTAAGTTAAGAGATATAATATTGATAATTTTTTTTTTTTTATCAAATATTTGTTTTATTAGTAAAACATTCTAACTTGAGTAATATAACATATGAACAGTGATTATAGTGAGGATAGAGTATATTCACACCATATATACAGAAAATAATATAAATAATTAAAAACCAAAATAACAACTAAAAAATAAACAATAACTCCATAATTATTAAAATAAGTTACATCCAAAAGTAAGAGATAAATGCACATACTTATGCACTATTTAGAAGGTAAAATTTTTTTAAAAATAATGTAATGAAATAAGTAAAGTAATGTTTATAAACATCCCTTATAAGAAAATATTAGAATAGAATAGAAAATATTCTTCGTTGGGCCATATTTATTATTATGATCGATCTGAGCTAAATATTTTAACAATACAAATATTCGACTTTTTAAATTGCAACGCATATACTTCCTAAAAAATATTGCAAATTTATATCTTAAAGTATTATCGTACTTGTAGTTTCCATTATAAAATTTAAACATAAATAGTTAGCTAACAAAAACGTAATCCTGGATCCGTTACAGAAATATTTTATAAAAATAATAATAAAATAAATATACTAACCTTAAATACTAGAATAGAACATATATCAATAACGGTCTAAAATATAGAAATCAATGTTTGTGTGATCGGGTGTGTGTACGCGCGCTTGCAAAACTTTCTTCTCTCATTTATAGATATTGAAATCGTGAAAAATCTAATGATATATCGATCAAGGGTTTACAGTACTTTGGTAAAGCCAGTTCTGATATAGTAATGCAAAACCTGGACATGGGCCAGCGTCCTAGGAAGAAGTATTGAAATATTTGAGAGAACCATTCTCCCCGTGATATCAGGAGCGTCAGAGTTGGACTAATATACTAAGATTAATTCTTCATCAGCCGTGGGTCGATCCTGGGACCGAGAGACCCTCCTGGGGCTAACCCAGCAGCTATAAAGTGGGTACTCTTAATTAAATAATTAATTAAGGGAGGAACCTGGCGGCTGAGCGTGATATTGGCCCGTCACCTCTCTGCACAACCGTTGGCCTTGTAACCACTAGTGTTGCCTAAAATCCATAACTGTTGCAAGATCAAGACCAGGACTGGTAAAAAAAGTCGATTTTTATAATAAACATTAAGCCACAATAGTTACTAATACTTGACAATCTTAGTTACTATATGTAAAAAATTGGTATAAACAATATACTTTTGCATTTAACTCCTCTATTTTTTCATTAGGATTCTCCTATCTAAAAAAAATACTGTAATAAGCTAATAAGTAACTGCAAGACTCTTGCGCAAGACCAAGACCACAACCAAGACTGAGTTTGCAATACCAAGACTCGTCTCGATCTCGCATTTCGGCAACACTAGTAACCACCCATAACCCTTCATGGGTTGTTAGTGGTACAGGTTTTTTTATATATATCTATAACAAAAATCCCAAAACCTATGTATAATATGAGATGTGATCAAGTTGGCACTTGGAGTGGAGTGGAGAACCCAACAGTTGAGAAAAAAGGTGCACACAATCTTTAGATTTGGGGAAGCGTCCCTTTGTGTCGTGCGGGAGACCAGTATGAGCAAGATGTAGAGTAAGGATAAAAAATAAATAATCAGGCATAAAAATAGGATGAGGAATAAAAAAAATCTGTGTATATAATTGTTTGAAGGATTGTAATTAATTATAAAAGTGGTGTAACAGCAGCACATATGTTAGATAATATTTCAAATTATTCTTTTAAGGTAAATATAGTGTTATGTTATGAATTTTATTCATATTCACATGCCTTGTCTCATTTAATTTAATTACCTACTCCTCTCTATCAACATGGTCACCTTTGGAAAAAAAAAAGTATTTTTAGTTACATTTATTATTTAATATTTTGCTCAAGGTCAATAAAGGACTTAAATAAATGGTTAGTGTAACAGTGCATATTTGTATATGGATACATCTGACTGTTGGTGCAATATAAAATAAATAAAGTTCCTCGTATATAAATAATAATAACTGAAACAATATTTTCCAACGTCAGCAGCCGGAACTAAGAGTAATATCCTTGGGTTATACGAGCCAGCGCAATAATATGCAAAAGGAGAGGCCCAGCTGTAGCTTTGAAAATAAAGCAGGACACTGGCTCTCTATACTGCCCCCTGGGAGAGGCTCTTTCGATGAGCAAACTTAGCTATTGTCATCATCCTGATATAATAAACGTATCTGCAGCAAAAAAAAAAGGTTATTTAATCTGGATTATAAACAATTTTATGATCTAGTAAATTCGTGCATTCAAAAAGCCAGAGCTACCGTCATAACTAAAAAGGCATTAACTATAAATTGAGTTTCTTAATACATTATGAAAATGTACCATAAATATTATGGTGCGGTTCTCTCATCACACAATTTTCACATTTACTTTGAGTAGAAATATAGTCCGTGGGACAGACCTGTGAAATAATGATTTCTTGGCAATAATTTATCAAACTATGAACTTCTGCTTGAAACTTCGTAAATACTTTCATCTCATAATAACCTACAACTTGAGAAGGTTATGTGAGGTCTATAGTGTAATTGCCTATAGCTTTTGATTACGTATTTTCTAATTATTTATAGTGTTTTTTTGTGTTAATTGTTCTATTTCATAATAAGTTTCTGTTAGTTTGTTCATTAATTACGTTATTTTGTCGTTACTGTTCCTGTTAATTTCGTTTTATTGGTGTATATAGTTTTGGACTGTTAGGTTAAGTGTTTCTTTTAAGTGTTATTTCTGTAGTACGTTTTGTAAAGTTCTTCAGTAGTGAAATATTGGGTTAGACATTGTCGTACCTTAAGGTAAGTGTCAGTGTAAGACTCGTCAAGTTTATTTCACTATAACCTTTTATCTACTACTTAACATTTTTCCAGAAAATAGTTTTAAAGTGTGTTA